GTGCATTAGCGGGGAACATTACTCACATATATAGGACAGTACTATTAGCTTTATTCCTCGGAAAAACCAAGACAATGGAGATATAGTTTGGTTGATATTTCGGCAACATGCCTTTATCGAAACAAAAATCTTGAGGTATATTACGCAGTTCAGAAGCCCTACGCTCTTCCTGAATCCCCTATATGTCCACTTGCAAGGTCGATCTGATCGCTAAGAAGCCCTCCACGTTGCCCCTGATTTCTTTGCATTTATTCGGAGGGCCCCGTGCTGTGGTCGGGGCCCTTTCGGCTGGCATGCCGGGGCACTCTTGTCGACCAGTGGCCTTCCACCGATTCTTCCCACTTGACCGAAAAGCTCTGCACGCTATAGCCGGGGCCCCATATGTCGACCTGCCCGGATATTCTTAGCTCTTCAGGGGCCCTTCGCCTTGGTATCGATTAACCTAACGACATACGCACGATATGCTCGTGGACCATCTGCATTGATCTAGGGCCCCTCCAATGCCCTGTCAATTGCGGGGTCAAATGCTCTACGCTCTCGTCGGGGCTCCATCTGTTGACCTGTTCGGGCACACTCGACCGTTCGATGCCCTCCAAATTGGGTCTTGGGTAAATTCCAATGTCTTTAGAGGTCACTACGCTCCTGTTGGAGGGCCAGTTGTTGACATTTCCGGGCACACTCAATCGTTAAGGGGTCATCACGCTTCGTTTTGGGTACTTCCTATCGCCTTTTGAGGGCCGTACGCTTTTGGTGGGACCCCATCTGTAAACCCGTTCGGGCACACTCCATCGTTCGGAGGGACCTCTTCACTTTGTCTTGGGTACTTCCAGTATCAGTGGAGGGTCCTACACTCTTGTGGTGGCGCCATCAGTTAAGCTGCTCGGGCACACTCGATTGTCCGAAGGCCTTGCACATTGGTTGTTGGGCACTCCTTATTTGAATGTAGGGTTTGAATGACCCTACCATAGTAGGGTCCTACCATCTACTAACATGTCTGGGCACTCTTAGTCAATCAAGGGTCCTCCACGCATTCTTCGCATTCGCCCGAAAACCTCTGTACGCTATTGCCGGGCCACATGGGCCCGGGTACACTCGGTTGTTCAGGAGCCCTTCACATTGGTATCGGGTTCTTTCCACTTGCTCGCAAGACCTTGTGCGGTTTCTGGGGCCGATACCAGGTGACACACCGAGCCACTCGATGCGCAGGGCCCCCCTACATTGGTCTAGGGCTCTTTCCCTTTGAACTCATTTGTGGAGAACCCTTCACTCTTATTAGGGCCCTTTCCGTTGACCTGCCCGGACGCTCTTGATTGCGCAGTAGCACTGATTTATGTACACTGGCTTTGGGTTATTCCCCTTTGCTCGGAGGTCCTGTGCTCTGGCCGGGCCTTGTATGTTAGACATATATGTTGGCCTGCCGGGGTACTCCCGATGGTTCAGGGGCCCGCCATCTTGGTCCTACGCTCCTCCCATAAAACTGTGGCACGAACTATGCTCGTGCATTACGTTCTTCACACATTTTGAACGCCAGTGTGCCCAGTACTCCTTCATAACGGTCAAACTAAAAACTTTGCACTAGTCATGAGCCATCAGCTCAACATACTGACTTACCGACAAACTGTAAGTAAGGTAGGAATCAAGTTCGTGCTTGAGTTTGAGGGCATTTAACAGTCAATTGTAGCATATTCTGCCATGTTCACTATGACATGCATGGTCTCAAAGTCACAGGATCCACCATGTTCTGGAGAAAATTAACACACACCATGCATTTGCATGCGTGGTGCACCTCGTTTTCTAAGGCTACGCACAATATGATGGCTGTCCGTATAAAAATGGCATGTATAAGAATCTTATATTTAAAGGCCGGAATTCGAGGAGTTTTAGGGGGTGACAGCCCCAAACTCGGACATCTATACCCTAGGGGGCCCACAATGTTGCGCCCCCTTTGACGATCCGCCCCTGATTGTACGGCACGGCACGTCAAACGCTCTGCAGTCATGTCTGACGAGGTCAAGGGGAACATTACCCGCGAGCTAGATCAGCACAACTTGAGGCGTGAGATCAGGACACACGTTACAAGCTCTTCTAAACAAACGCTGTGAGCATAACACCATCCATACAGGGCATTCGACAACATGTACATACTTTCCAATCTGCAAGGAATGGGGCAGGGGTGCGGGCGGAGTTCAAAGAAAGCATAGAATAGGACCAATGAGGCCTGATGACAATCGGTGTAGTAGCCAGATTTCAACTACAGTGTTGCAGTCAGGGGCGCAGCCGCAGTGTGTGTGTGCGTGCGCGCGCGCGCGTGTGTGTGTTCCATTCTGATATTTTATTCTGGCTTATCTCTGAGACTGACCCTGCCATCAGGTGGTGCCTCACGTTCTGCTACTACGGCGTGGCTTTGGTCAGCACGGAGCTGTTTAAACTGCCAGACGCTGAGCTGTGCGGCAGCATTGGTGTCGATCAGGAGGGGCAGGTACGTACCCTACCCGCGTCACGCCGCGACTGTCAAGCTATTTTGGGCTGAGTTCGGAAACTAAGCCGCTGAAGGTAAAGGTCAGTAGCAGTTGTTTGCTTGTTTTCTTCTTGTTTTATTACCACGTATGGTACCACAATAAGCTAATGCTTCCGTTGTGTTAGCACTGGGTCCTCAAAATTCGAAAAACTCGACATTCTTTTATCCTGAGTTTATTTGGTTTTTGGTCATAACCAGCCCGAAGTACCCTGTCTAGACAAGGTTTCCATGACTCAATAAGATGGACGGGTAAAATGTACCGATATTCATTTCACAATGCCTTTCCAGGGGCGTCAATTTTCACTCTTTAGATAGGGCAGTGGTTCCCCAAATGCTGATTGTAGTCCCGCATTGTTTTTTGGCCACAATGTGCATGTTGCAGTGCTATACAATTTCGGGAAAGGGTCAACTATCGCAACCGAATTGAAAAGACAAATGCAAATTGTTTTCCGCCAGTACACAGTAAATACCTTGCTAAACACTAATTTCGGGGTTATTGGGCTGTAGGGCCATTGAAGTGCCCCCTTCCCAAATCATTGCTTGATTACTTCATCGCAGCTTATATAGCATTAATCGAAAGGCAATGGACAGCCGTTATGTATGGAAGTCGTGCTCATGAACGCCAGATATGAATGGCTGGATCACCGCATTTTTTTCGGCCTCGATCGCCGCATGGCTTATACAGTAACAGGACTTAAATGACGTTATTATGACGTCATGAATGCCAAAGTAACCTTGAAATACTCTCCCCGAACTGGTCTCATCTTTGCGAGCGTGTGGCTCAGAAACCAGAGGAGCTTAGGTCTTAAGATGGGCAGGGCCGTGAACTACACCAAAAGGCCTTCAACACGGTTCTTTCGGCTCAAAACCGCATAAGAAAATGTGGAACTCTCCCTTTAATACGTCTTCTGCTTGTTCGTCCTGCCAGGTTTGCCAGGCTTCGTGTCAAATGCTGTCCCAGGAAGACTACCTTGGTCTCTTGTGGACAACGCTGTCAGAAATTCCAGGTAACCCAAGCTGTCTGTCTACGCACAGGCGTGTCGTCAATGTGTGAGTGGGAAGGGAGGCGGGGGCGGAAGGGACATAACCCCGCAAAGCCTTGTGTTAACTACTGGTGGCAAAGACAATGTTTTTGCTGGTGCGGTCACAAATCAGAAGGTCTTGCCGCCACACTCTAATTCCATACCATAATGTTCACCTTATTTTTTACTACGTTTCGCTATCACACTGTAATTCCCATACATTATTGTTCATATGATGTTTTAATGCGTTTCTATCCGTTTTCACATCGGCCTACTTGCGTGGCACGCTTTAAACATCGTGCTTGAGCGTGCATGATCGACGCCGTGTTAGTCTGTGATCACTTGCATTGAGAGTAGAGTAGCTGGCTTTCGCTGCAGAAGTTTTAAATATGTATGGGGCTTTCCAGATGCTGCATATCTTTATGCAACTAGTCCCAGACCCGACGCATGTTGCGGAAAATGTTGCACCATAATTTTTCGTGAAGCCGGGCGGCGCACTGCCACATCTGGAGGGCCAGTTAAATATTATTTGCTGCGGTGTGGGGGGGGGGATGAGGGGGAAGTTTGCCCCGCTAATATCTCAGATTTTGAGAGAGCTGGAAACACCAAATTCACAGGGTGCATCAAACTGTACAGGAACTCATTTATGTCGAGTTCCAAAGTTCCTAGAGTATGATCTTTGGGTCAAGTAAGGCCAAACAAGATCAAACTGCAGATTGGTGTGCAAAGTGCCCCCAAAAATCTTCTCATGCAACCACTATACCTAGATATCTGTTTTAGGCCAAAGGCCACTGGTGCTCAGTTAAGGTCAGCGGCCTTTTTACCATTGAAGGGTCATGGTTATCAAAATCACACAACACTGCTTTGGTTTTTCATCTGAATAAGCGTCAAGAATTGCGCTTGGCAATATTTTCCTGAAACACGAAATGTTGACCCGGGTCATTCTAGGTGGGTGATTTATTACGACCTTCAATAAGTTTATGGAAGATATAAATTGCGAAGCACCAAAAAATACCCCATGCAATAAGCTTTAGAGTAAAAGGCAGGTTGGTTTTGACCTGGGTCTGACGTTCGTACTTGACCCTAGGCCACTAAGCTGTTCATTCACTTGTTGTGTTGCCTTATAAAACTATCTCAGTGATGTATAACTTTGTCTAACACTCTGTTGATGCATCAGATTGAACGATTCGCTAGAAATTGTCGTTGCTGAATCCATGGACTGACTCTGAATTGCCGTAGGTCGGCGACCTTGCAGCACACATCTACATTATTGGTGCCAGGCAATCCGGCTTTAGTTACCTATAGCTGTGTAAAATGTGTCGCGGCCGGACTGTGTAGTTTGGAAATCATCCTGGAAAAACTTTCGGGAGGAATCAAACTGACTCCCCACCCGAGCGTATGGTGACGCGGGTCATCAATCAATCGGTTATGAGTATGGTCCATTGCCATTGTATTTTTGAAGGTGGACGACAAACGAATACGAAGTTGACGATCGATATTCACGGAAGGAATACCTGTTCGGTCTATTGTCTTCGTGTGGTGCGTTAGAAGGTGTGCATGCTACTTGCCGACCAGCGTGCTACTGCGTAAGAAAAGTTGCCCATCCGTGATGGTAATACCTCACCCCGATCCTTAAAACTAAAATAAGACAATACAAAACGGGTGAAACTAAAATGTCGATGCCATTTGAAATCTCACACGTCTGTTTTCACACTGCTGGCCCAATTGGAATGGTGCTGATGTAAATCATGTAAATGCAGACGTAAACAGACTTCTAATCAATGAATACATGTACCTGCATCATACCCTTCGTGAGTGCCCGAACCATAAGACGCGCACATAAATGACTATTTGCACGCTAACGCCACCTCTTTTCTAACCTCTTTTCAGAGTGTTTCGCACGCCCCACATTTGTCTACAAGTCTTACTCACTTCGTTTTTTTACAGGAGTATTGCTTGCAATGTTCGTTATCGAAAAAGTTGGTCGCAAGCGAACGATTGCCTATGGTCTTCTCATCTTCGTCGTGGCCATCCTGCCTCTGCTGCTATGTATCCAGAGGTAAGCCACCCACACAGATGCCACAAATACCGAACACGGCCGAACTTGTATTCAACTCAGTGAGCACCAATTCAGGTGAAAATGTCGCCGGGAACACAGTAGCCTCTGAAATCAATCCGAGTTCATCCTTATTTTAAACTGGGACGAATGACTGACGACTGGCGACCCGAACTGAGACGCCCTACCAGTACTTGCCCCACAGCTTCTTGGACGAGCAGTGTGAGAACTTGTGGTACCGCCGCAGCCAGTGGCACGCATAGCTGTCGAAGGCCACGAGGCAGCTGCTCACGAATCTGGGCGTGTAGCTGTGGTAGCGCGGACGCTGCAAATCAACGGCAGCGCGTCAGCATGACAGCAGCATAGCGCCTCACGTCACTGGAGGACAGACAGACCAGATCTGGACGACACCAACCAGCGAGTGGAGCAAATGTTCAGAAAGGTCTCACTCCTCAAACATTCGAACATCCAATAGACGTTTGGGGTTAGCGGCAGCACTATGGCCCGTCTGCCGGATCCATCCGATAATAGAGCCGCCTCTGCTCACCCATTGGCGGAGGAAACCACGGACGAAGGTGGGGAACCGCAGCCTCTTGCTGTAGATGATACCGGACGGGTAGCTGGAGAAGCGCAGACGCAGCACGGAGATCAGGTCACGCTGGATGACCGGGCTGGTCAGGAAGGACAGGTGCGGCAGCCCACTGAACTGTAACGTCGAAGGTCTCAGGTCAGGTCACCGGCTCTGCTCGTCTGAAATACTGATGGGCTAGGTCATCGCACCACCGGCGCCAGGGCATCTTGCAGTTAGCGCGCTGCTGAATGGCCCACTGACATGGCCTCCGTCTCTCTCTGACATCTGCTAAGATTAACCAGCGTCCGTTTTTAAGAGACCTGAGCCCCAGAGACCGGAAGAACATCCTCATGCTGGCCACATTTCCATGAGGCGGTTTCGACGCCTTTCCCGAACATTCATGCACAACAGACGATCCTGTAAGGAAAAGGCGGCCTCGAGACAGCGGGACATCGGATGTCTGTTGACCTGTGACCCTCAGTCCGCCTCAGCGGCAACAGGTGCGGCTGCGCCGCAGCCCACTCACGTATGACGAAGAGGTGGAGATGGTCGTCGTCGTGGGGAACTTGTACGACCTGAGCCGGTTGATGTAGCGCGACCAGCCGTACGGGTAGTAGCTATTCACGTACCGGTGCACGCCACGCTGCGTGATCCGCTGGTACACGAGCGACGACGGGCGGAACACGGGCAGCGTCGGGAACTGGATGTGGTTCTTCCCCTGGCGACCGGAAAGGCACGATCATCAGCGGTCCCTCTCTCTCCCTTTCCTGTCATATAGCATTGCAGTGGTGCCAGCTAGCAGTCCCAAGCGTTGTTAATATTTCGCACTTTTTCAGCTTTCTGTCGGACTAAATTGTAGCCTTGCTGAGAGAGCAACAGCTTAGATAGCGATTAGGTACGCTGTCTTAAGCCTGAAATCTTTGTTGAGGTGGGCACATGCATCCTTTGTTGATTGTTTTATAACATAAATTGAAAGGATATCCAAGCAGTTGTCCATTGCGGTGATGGCTTACAATTACAATAGATGGTTGTCTATACTTACATGCAGGAGAGAAGGAAGGCTGATCCTGCGGAAGTACCTGTCCACCCCATAGTTGTAGCCATTCAGGCGGGACGCAATCACACCCAGCGCCGGGAACGCGTTGCCTGGAAAGGGGTGGACGGCATGCAATGGAGACTGTTGGAGGCCATTGGCAGTTAACTATTGATTCTGGAGGCGTTCAGGATAGCACTGGTCGGATAAATGCGATTACCGATAACCGACGTTCGTACGCGGGTGACCTAAAATTTCGACTGCGCTCATTCTCGCATCAACTTAAAGTGGCTTTGAAACATTGTCATGTGTTACGCGATCTTTAACGGCGAACACACTGCGCATTTGGCGGCCATGTTATGGACACGTTTAATTCATGGCTCCATGGATTAGTGCACGGCACGGATTTAGTAACGTTTATGAGTGCGAGGATGGGGCCTCTGGCTCTCCCGCGTTAAGTAAACTGTTGAAGCCTGTGTGTACATCGCTCCCTCTGGGCTGGTACCGGGCAAGGCTGGGGCAGCACGCGCCCACCCGGTGCCCACCTCGGGCGTCTGCTGCCGTCGGGCATCTCGGCGCGCGCTGGTGACGGTGTACCTCACCTTGTGGTCAGCACCACTCACCGTGGCCGTGATGGAGGACGTACTGGCCGTAGAAGCCTCTGAACGCGTTCCAGGAGATGGGTGCCAGAAGGTGGTTGGCAAAGTAGATGTCGCACAGTGCCAGGTGGCTCTGAAATGGCATGCGTTATGCAGGGGCCAGTTATGTTTTAAGCTGCATGCCGGAGGTGACTGCGTGTTATGAGACGCTAGGCCGATTCCAAACCTGCGGTGAAGTGGGTGCATGATGGAGGATGCGAGCAAATACCATGCAAACATTTTGAAAGTAGATTTCTAACATATCTCAGGATAATGCAAGCACATGGTATTGAGAGGCTGCTTCTTACTGTCGTCACCCACTTAAGATTTTGCTCATACCTAAGTTGCTGCTCAAGTAAGAGTTCGCAGCACAGTCCGAGAGGGCACTTTATTTCAGGGTGCCATTAATTGGACAGGGTACCCTTGCTTCAGACGTTTCTGTTTAAATTTTTTCTTTAAACCCATGATTCTTGTGCCACCCACTCCCCAGCAACAATCACGTAATATTGACCCAGAAATAATTCACCGTCATGAAGAAAGAATTCCGATTACCACCACGGCTCTGAAAGGGCCTCATGCGACGACTGCAGCTGCTGCTGGCCCTAGCGCCGGCTGCAGCTGGACAGCAGGTTTCCACTCACCAAGTACAGCCCGCTGTTGACAACGCCTGGGTAGTACTGGTTCACATAGGTGCTCAGATGGGAGCCGTATGTGCCTTGATAGAACACAGGTGGCAGCAGGTCGATCAGCGAGGTGATGTAGGTGACCCAGTATTGAACCGGCACCGGCCTCTGCCGGACGGACAGAGACGAGTGATCACTGATGCCAGCAGGGGCCTGCTGGCGTCAGTCTTTGGTGGGAGCGTCATCCCGCAAGCCTGATTAGCATGGTCCAGCCTTGGGCAGTTGGACGCGGAATCAGGCGTGGTGTGTATGTGTGGCCACTTTCCGAGGTCAATAGTGGTTATGCCTGTGAGTCGGACTACACTGCCAGGCGGGGGGGGGGGGGGGGGGGGGGAGAGGCAGGGTACGTGTGATGTCTACTGACCAATAAACTCACGCCGTTTAAAGTTACGCCGGCAAACACGAACCATGCCGCGGTCATACAAAGTAACAGCAGTATAAATACAAATATTCTATACTAGGCTTCCGAGGCGCTGGGCTCGCACCCTTTCCAGCACCGCGGCGCGCCACTGGGCCGCCGTCAGGCGACAGATACTCACCCCGTAGACGATATTCTGCAGACGGAGGTGGGGCAAGATCAGCCGGGACGGGTAGTTTAGGATGTAGTACGCGATGTAACTGGCGGTAGAGTCGGTGATGCCCGGGTAACGCAGGCGGATCGGAGCCAGGTACCTGGCGTGCCAGTAGGGCCTCAAGTTGATACTTCCATACCCGTGGCCGTACCCGTAGTCATGGCCCAGGGCACTGGCCGAGAGGGCCACCAGAAGGAGGAGCCGCAGCATGACTCTATCCCAGCTGCCTGCCTGCTGAACTACACTGTCAGGCGTGCAGGCACGGTTTTTATACGGCTCGTGGGGGAAGAGGTTTAGGGTTCGCGGTCACTCCACTGCGTAGTCGGCAGGCAATGAACCAGATAGGTCACCTGTCACAGAAAGGTTGTTTCTGGTCGGAGCAAACGGCTGCAGGACGAAAAATGTTGGCTGCAAAGCCAGGAGGGCGGTAAATTTCAGCTGCCATTAGCTATGAGATGCAACGGCTGGTGCTGAACGTGGGCGTTCACCGACAGGTCAGCGCGCTGCTGTAGCGGCATGGCAGCGCAGATAGTATAAGACCAACAGGGTGGAGGGATTAGTGAGGCTTGGGAGTGCGCGAAACTCCGAAAACTGCCTAATGCAGCTGTGGGGTTGATGGTGTCACAGACTGGGAGAGCATAAATATAACTGGCTGGAATTTGGGAGGGGAAACCAGACGGTTTGGGAGATGAGTCGTGCGAAATTGTGCTGATATCGTACAGCAGCAGTAATATTCATAACATGCGTGCAAGCGCCTCGCCGGGTAACACAGCTTTGTGTGGAGTTCATTTCGCATTGAGACCATTACTGTGGTTCTTCTCATTCTACATGCATCATAAGCCTCATTTGTGTCCACATCGTTACTCGTACCATCCTTCAGCTGAAATGCACTTATCCGGCGTAAGATTACAGTACGCTGCTATTTCTAAGGATATCTAATATTGATTGCCTGCTTCTGGTCCAGCGTAATTAATGCTGGTAAAAGTCCCGCCGGCTCGACTTTTCCTCGCAACAGCAGTTCTGGGTTGATATGACAGGGTGGATCAGCTCGCGGTGGCCACATGCTACATATTTCGCGGGGGTGCACCATACTTGGGAACACGAGGGGGAGGCACAGCGGAGGGGTTAACGATCAGAGCCCGAGGCGTGTGCTGGCGAGGTTGGATTCTTCTTCAGCTTACGAATTTCTCTCAAACGTGCTGTAGAGGGAGATCGGCATAGATTAAGCCCAATTCAATAATCTTAAGGCGGTCAGATAAAGCAGTTAAAAGCTAAAGCCTGAGCAAAATCGAAGCTGCGTGTGACGTGGGCTGATTCCAACGCATTTTCTGTTTTGCCTGTTCACAAAATTAGTAAACCCATCAAACTATACTTTTTCTGACTCTCCATAGGCGATAAATAACATCACCGAGTTTTCATGACCCTTGGTCACTGTAAAAAAAAATGTTCCGTGACCAAAATTTGGAGGTCACGCGATAACCTTCAATGGCTCTGAAAGTAGTTTTGATTTTCTTGACGGAAGTGTTCCACATCTAACGATATTGCAGCAAGCATCAGACAACAATTTAAGCTCGCCTACATAAATGGGCATACTTTTGGGTGGAAAAGGCTGGTCAACACAATTTCTCTGTTCAGTAAAGATACTGCTCAGTATGTAACTGTTTGATTATGCCATCTTGCCTTCCACTATATTCAATGAGAACCATTTGGTGTCCGTGGTATCTGGAAACCGTGCTCGAGAACGTCAGATATAAACGGGTTGACAATCATATTTTTCTTGGTCTTACATGGCGTCTGACAGATTTACTAGCGACGTGCACTAAGAAGCAACAAATCAGAGCCGGGTGGGAGGCATGGAAATTTCAATATCACAGCTCACAAGACGTGCAAGATCCGACGTAAGCCTCATCTTGCTGGTGTTCGGACAACCTCGACGCTACAGCTGCACGCACAGATGTGTTCCCTCACGCTTTGCGTGAGACTATGCCGATGACGGAATAGGCGAGAGAGGCGGAGTTGTGTACTGCTGGATGCTCACGGCTGCTATGTGAGGAACAATTTCCTGTTGTCTGCTTAGCTGCGTTGATGCGGCTCAGTTTTGACCTCAAGCCGATGCTCGTGCGCATTGGTTTGCCTCTAGTGCAGACTATAAAATAACTGAAGGCGTGCTTTGCTCGCATTTAGCGTGCTGCTATTTCATGTCTGTCCGTCGCTCCGCTTAACGGTACACCGTTTGTCTGCGCCGGTCTGTAAGTGAGGGCGAATGTTTAAGCTTAACGGTACACCGTTTGTCTGCGCCGCTCTGTGAGTGAGGGCGCGCGTCTAAGTGTTTGGGTACGCACAGCCTGAGCCTCTGAACTGACCATCACCAAACCTGGATCGTCGGATACTCTGGTTCAGCGCCACGACTGTGGCGACGGTTTTGGTCCGATCGGTGCCGGGCGTTACGCGGCGCGCGGCCGACCAGAGACCGGGTGACCCGACCCGCGCGGTGCCGTTGGTCTGCAGGGGTCGGGCGGTCGCGACTGGAGCGCAGCGGCTGGTCTCAGTGGTCATGCCCGCGAGCAGTGCATGAACCTCGATGTGATCCATGATGCACTGGGGGTCAAGGGTGGCAAGCGGCACTCGTCATGCCTTTCAGACGGGTGCTGCCTTTTGGACAGAGCCCCCCCCCCCCCCCTCCCGATCGCCAACGCGTGGAGCTCCGGCCGCTAAACTAAGCCATTAGATGGTTTACCGGCGGTGAATTTGTCACCGTTAGTCGAGAAAGGTTAATGATTCGCTGTGCGCGAGGTGTTCGCGCCCGGTTTATACCCCTATAACTGCAATCCTCGGTACCCCACACCTGAGCTGGGAGTCGACCGTCGGTGTTCGCAATGCTACAATGTAATTGGGCGGCAGGACAGTTTATTCAAGCAGGTGTTACCACGCGCGAAATTTTATCGCACCAGCGCTTGATGTCCAAGCAAGTTGTGCGGCTATGTCGCTGGTGTCAAACGAGTGATGCCAAAGACCAGCTGATAATTGGGGTAGCACGCGCAAACTTCACGCCCTTGCATGTCGGATGGTCTGTCTGTCGATAATAGAATGATATAGAGTTTTCAGACTTGGTGCGCTGCTCTTGGCAACGCATGTATACAAGGATATTTATTTTGAGATAGCTACGATGAGCAGCACGTGGTGCGTACACACGCGAGTTTTGCTTCTCTGCATTTGCCGTCGCACTGGCCGTTTGGCACACCAGATATGGCATCCGTGCTGACACGGCCAGTCAGTATTGGTTATTGGAAAAGTATGTTTTTTATTCTTTCCCCGTTTTTAAAGTTCATTTTCTGTTGAAGCTGATCTATGATTACAACCTCGAAGTGGTGTATTTTCTCAAAAGAAGTAATGCTTACTTAACACGTGCCCGGATGGTCGGTTGGATGCCCTTCGCTCGGGTGGAGGAGAGTCAATTTGACCCCTTGCAATTTCATGAAGTAAGTGAGCTAGAGACGCTGAGTTCACAGGGTGTGTTAACCTGTACGTGAACTCACTTAGGTCAAAGTTTGAAGCTCCTAGCTTATGACCTTCAGGCCAAAGAAGGTCAAACAAGGTCAAATTCCAGGTTTGTCTCCGAAGGGCCCTCAGAACCTGGATAAGTGTTCTAAGTGGATAGTCACGTGCTCATATAAGGTCAGTGACCTTGTTCTTTGAAGGTCATAGAGACAAAAATCGTACAAGACCGCTTTAAGTTTTGCAATGGTATCAGCGACAAAGATTACGCTAGGCAGTATGCTCTTAAAAACAATATGTTGACCTTGGTCATTCTAGGTCATTGACCTATTCTGACCTTTAAGAAACCTATGGAAGTTGTGTAATGCGGTTCCTGCTTTCAATAAATTCGAAAAAAGCGCCAGAAAGTGCCCCATACAGCAAGCGCTAGAGTAATAAAACGGGTAAGTTTTGATCTTGTTATGACCTTAATATCTGACCTTAGGTCAATACAATTTGTTCATTCAATCATTGAGTTGCCTAAGAAAATATCTCAGAGATGTATGGCTTCGTCTAACTCTCCATTGCTAGATCAGATTGAACGATTCCTTAGAAAGTGGCTTCGCTGAAACCACGGCCTGAACCGGACAAACCGCTATTCAATTGTTCACAGCCATGCGAAATTTGGCGCGGCTACGCCGCGCCGACCGGAAAGCACTCTGGAAAAACAGATAAACAAACAAAAGACAGTTTTCCAACAGATAAACAAACATTGTCGCATAGCGTGCGTTTTAATCTCCGTTGACTGTTTCATTTTCTGTAAATGTTGCATGCTCGTCGACGTGGAGGCGAGAAAATCCACAAAATTAGTTAGGTTTTGAGGTTTTAGAACGCTATATTTTTGGTTCACAGGGGTTCGTGGCTGAGTTTGTAGTTAGTCTATATTTCAGTCCCTTTGTTTGCGCTTTTCGGTAGTATTGCTTGAAACGTTCGTGACAGAAAACATTGCTCATAAGCGAACGATTGCCTAAGGTCTGCTCATCGTTGTCTTGGCTATCCTGCCTCTGCTGCTATGTATGCAGAGGTGAGTCACCCACACGGGTGCCACACAAATACTGTACACGACCGAACTTGTATTGAACTCAGTAAACACCAATTCAGGAAGAAAACGTCAGCGGAAACAGCAGCTTCTGAAATCAATCCGAGTTCATCCTTGTTTTAAACTGGAACGAATGACTGACGACTGGCGACCCGAACTGAGACGCCCTACCAGTACTTGCCCCACAGCTTCTTGGACGAGCAGTGTGAGAACTTGTGGTACCGCCGCAGCCAGTGGCACGCATAGCTGTCGAAGGCCACGAGGCAGCTGCTCACGAATCTGGGCGTGTAGCTGTGGTAGCGCGGACGCTGCAAATCAACGGCAGCGCGTCAGCATGACAGCAGCATAGCGCCTCACGTCACTGGAGGACAGACAGACCAGATCTGGACGACACCAACCAGCGAGTGGAGCAAATGTTCAGAAAGGTCTCACTCCTCAAACATTCGAACATCCAATAGACGTTTGGGGTTAGCGGCAGCACTATGGCCCGTCTGCCGGATCCATCCGATAATAGAGCCGCCTCTGCTCACCCATTGGCGGAGGAAACCACGGACGAAGGTGGGGAACCGCAGCCTCTTGCTGTAGATGATACCGGACGGGTAGCTGGAGAAGCGCAGACGCAGCACGGAGATCAGGTCACGCTGGATGACCGGGCTGGTCAGGAAGGACAGGTGCGGCAGCCCACTGAACTGTAACGTCGAAGGTCTCAGGTCAGGTCACCGGCTCTGCTCGTCTGAAATACTGATGGACTAGGTCATCGCACCACCGGCGCCAGGGCATCTTGCAGTTAGCGCGCTGCTGAATGGTCCACTGACATGGCCTCCGTCTCTCTATGACATCTGCTAAGATCAACCAGCATCCGTTTTTGAGAGACTTGAGCCCCAGAGACCGGAAGAACATCCTCATTCTGGCCACCTTTCCATGAGGCGGTTTCGACGCCTTTCCCGAACATGCATGCATAACAAACGATCCTGTAAGGAAAAGGCGGCCTCGAGACAGCGTGACATCGGATGTCTGTTGACCTGTGACCCTCAGTCCGCCTCAGCGGCAACAGGTGCGGCTGCGCCGCAGCCTACTCACGTATGACGAAGAGGTGGAGATGGTCGTCGTCGTGGGGAACTTGTACGACCTGAGCCGGTTGATGTAGCGCGACCAGCCGTACGGGTAGTAGCTATTCACGTACCGGTACACGCCACGCTGCGTGATCCGCTGGTACACGAGCGACGACGGGCGGAACACGGGCAGCGTCGGGAACTGGATGTGGGTCTTTCCCTGGCGACCGGAAAGGCATGATCATCAGCGGTCCTAGGCCGGAGGGACATTTGTGAAATCCATGGAAACGGACCGCCCGTTGCCTCATTGCAGTCGTCTCTTGTTCACCTCTTCCCTCTTCCCTTCGCCCTCCTTCTATTGCAACGCTGACGTGAATTATGTGTCATGTAGTGCGTCACGTTCTTGTCACATTGTGATGCAGTGGTACCAGCCAGCAGTCCCCATTCCTGTTGATATTTCCAGCGCTCTTTGGTTTGCTAACGCGTTTACCAACATACCTGATCAGCTGTCCACAGTTTAGATAGTCCTCAACGCACATGTCGTTAGGCTGACAATGCTTTGTTTACACAGACTTATGCACCATTTGCTAAATGTTTTAAAACATGCATTGAGAATGCCCCCCTGTAGTTGACCACTGCGGCGATGACATACAGTTGCATGAGATGGTTGTCTACACTTACGTGCACAAGCGAACGGAGCCTGATTCTGCGGAAGTACCTGCCCACTCCGTAGTTGTAGCCACCCAGGCGGGTCGCAATCACACCCAGCGGGGGGAACACATTGCCTGGAAGGAGGTGGACCGTATGCAATAACAAACCACTGGGGACCATTGTCGATCACGCTCTTTCTCGCATCAACTCAAAGCGGCTTCGAAACGTCATTATGTGTTACGCCCTGCTTAACGGCGAACACACCATACATTTGTCGGTCATATTATAAACACGTGTGTTTCGTGGCTCCATGGATTAGTGCACGGCACGGATTTAGTAACGTTTATGAGTGCGAGGATGGGGCCTCTGGCTCTCCCGCGTCAAGTAAACTGTTGAAGCCTGTGTGTACATCGCTCCCTTTGGGCCGGTGCCGGGCAAGGCTGGGGCAGCACGCGCTCACCCGGTGCCCACCTCGGGCGTCTGCTGCCGTCGGGCGTCTCGGCGCGCGCTGGTGACAGTGTACCTCACCTTGTGGTCAGCACCACTCACCGTGGCCGTGATGGAGGACGTACTGGCCGTAGAAGCCTCTGAACGCGTTCCAGGAGATGGGTGCCAGAAGGTGGTTGGCAAAGTAGATGTCGCACAGTGCCAGGTGGCTCTGAAATAGCATGCATTATGCAGGGGCCAGTTGTCTTTTAGGCTGTAAGCCGGAGACGAATGCATGTTGCAGGGTGCAAAACCAACTTAAAACCTGCGGTGAAGTGGGTGCATCATATTATGGGATGTAAGCATATACCGTTAAAATATTGCAAGGATATCTTTCCAGCGTATATTTTTTCTTTATGAAAAAATACTTTCTCAGAAAAACGTAAGCACTTGATATTAAGGGACAACTTCTTGCTGTCATTACCCAAGTAAGATTTTCATTTATTTAAACTGCTGCTTTAGTAACAGTTCGCAACGCATCTCGAAGGGGTACTTTATTTCAGGATGATATGAATCAAAGGACGTAACCTTTGCCTCAGAAACTTCTGTCGAACTTTTTTCTAGAAACCTGTGCTACATGCGTCGCGTACTTTCCAGCAACATTCCGTATGCTTGTGGAAAAGACAAACCACCGCTGCGAAGAAACAATTTCGCCCACCGCCACGACTATGAACTAGATAAATGCGATGGCTCGAGCTGCTGCCCACCTCGTCGCCAGCTGCAGCTGGATGGCAGCTGTCCACTCACCGTGTACAGGCCGCCGGTGACGACGCCGGGGTAGTACTGGTTCACATAGGAGCTCAGATGGGTGACGTAGTTGTTGCTTTGGTAGAACACAGGTGGCAGCAGGTCGATCAGGGAAGTGATGTAGGTGACCCAGTATCGAACCGGCACCGGCCTCTGCTCGACGGACAGAGACGAGTGATCACTGATGCCAGCAGGGGCCTGCTGGCGTCAGTTTTTGGTGGGAGCGTCATCCCGCAAGCCTGATTAGCATGGTCCAACCTTGGGCAGTTGGACGTGGGATCAGGTATAGTGTGTCGACTGGACGCCGTGCTTCAGGAGCCTGAGAGTCGAACGGCGACAGTGGTAACATCGCTCCGCATTGGAGGAATGTGTGGCTACCATCCGAGGTCAATGGTGGCTATGCCTGTAAGTCGGACTACACTGCCAGGGGGATGGGAGGTTTGCAATGTCTAACCGACCAATCAGTCAGGCCATTCAAAGCCAGGCCAACAGACACAACTATGCCGCGGCCGTGCAAAGTAAAAACAGTCTAAAGATAAGTGGTCCGTACTGTATTTGCTGTCGATAGGTTTGCATCCCTTTCAGCATCGCGGCACTCATTGGCCCATCGTCAGGCTACAGATACTCACCCCGTAAATGATATTCGGCAGACGGAGGCGGGGCAAGATCAGCCGGGACGGGTTGTTCAGGATGTAGTACGCGATGTAACTGGCTGTGGAGTCAGTGATACCCGGGTAACGCAGGCGGATCGGGGCCAGGTACCTGGCGTGCCAATAGGGCCTCAAGTTGATACTTCGATACCCGTGGCTGTACCCGTAGTCATGGCCCAGGGCACTGGCCGAAAGGGCCACCAGAAGGAGGAACCGCAGCATGACTCTACCCCAGCTGCCTGCCTGCGGGACTACATTACCAGGGGGTGCAGGCGCGGTTTTTATACGGCTCGTGCCGCTGAGGTTCCGGGTTCGCTGTCACCACGCTGCGGGGTCGTCAGGGAAGGAACCAGACAGGTCAGCTGTCACGAAAAGGTTATTTCTGCTGGGGGCAGACGGCTAGGGGACGAAAAATATTGACTGCAAAAACAGGAGGGCGGTAAATGTCAGCCGCAAATAGTGATGGGAGACAGAGGCTGGTGCTGAACGTGGGCGTCCACCGACAGGTCAGCACGCTGCTGAAGCGGCATGGCAGCGCAGACAGCATACGACCAACACGGTGGAGGGATTAGTGAGCGCTGGGAGTGCGCGAAACTCCGAAAACTGCCCAATGCAGCTGTGGGGTTGATGGTGTCACAGACTGGTTGGAGAGCACAAATACGCAGGTGGAAATATGGGAGGCGAAACCCGACGGCTTGGGAGATAGATTCATACGAAAGAATAGTGCTGTCATTGAGATGTGCGGTAATGTTTGTAACGTGCGTGGATACGCTCACTAAGGAGCAAAATTTTGGGAATCATAACTATTCCTGAAAATTTTAGGGGTAAAGGGTGACCTGCAGTACTGAAGCCAAATTTGTGATTTTGATTCCATCAGGTCAGTAATCAAAAGCTAGAGCCTGAGCCACGTTGGAGGTCGTGTGCGACATGGGTTGTCGCGACAAGTTCGTGTTTCTCTTCCATCAGAAGTAGTAAACCCGTCAAGCTATACATAACCTGACTCTCCATGATGCGACAATTAAGAATGTTGAGCCTTTGTGACCTTCGTTCACGGCTACGAGAAATGGCCCCGGACCGTAGGTCAAATGCCATACGATGAGCTTCAACGGCTCCTTAAGTGAGAGAGTTCCGGAACACAAGCCTCATTATGTCATGTTAATAAAACCAAGTCATGAAACCGCATTGCCTGAAACCGAGCATGTTATTAGAATTATTAAACAGCATAATCCATTCCATTTTTGTTGATTGCGGCGTGCATCAGCGGTGAGCAAGGCCGGTGGGAACCGCAGGGAAAGTTGAAAAAAGTAGGGCACTTGTTTGAGTTTGTTGCTCTTTTTCACTAAATATCGTGAGACTGAAGATCGTAAAGTCTCCGGTTCAATCCTGGTTTCCGGGAATTTTAGGTATAAACTGCAGAGAACTCGGCTGTTTCACAATGGGAAGAGAGGAGAAAGCGTTGCAATGGAACGTTTTCTTCTATGACTGGGCGTGTTTTAAGCGCCTGCTGTAGTTTTGACATCTTTGCTTGAAACCTGCAAACACCACACGTTTGCCTGAAGTTAAGGATGTAATGCTTGGAAAACGTACTAAGAATATGCTACCACTAAGCTATAACATCAAACAAGATGGGGTAAGTGATAGGAAGTAAGGTCAAGTGTCATTAATACTCAAAGAAAGTTGCAAATCACAATCCATGCGTCATGCCTTTCACCTTAGTAGTAATTAAAACATCAGATTAGATTAAGAGCGAGCTCTCATTGCCATGCATATCGAGAGGCAAATACAAAATTATTGTGTGTTAGTACTCGAAGTTGAACGATATACTTTACTGCTGACGTTACTGCGGAAAGCCGCCTTTCCCAGCTGATATATAGGAATCAATACATTCAATGTAATGCGCATTTGAGGGCAATTTAAACATTTCACAGCTGGCCACAAGCCTACAGTAACTCTCAGATGTCATAGGGGACAGTGGGGTGAGTTACAACTTGTTCAAGCAGTATCAGGGCAGCTCGATCTGAATATACGCGACAAACATCGGTCTGACGTCACTTGACTGGCGCTCAGCATCGCCCTCTGCCTGTCAGTGTATTGCTGGCTGCATACGTCCACGCGTCTTGGAGTGAGTGCGACAGATATGCTTTTTGTATGTCGATGAACGCTCTAGCGACCGGTGGAAATGTGTGTTAAGGTCTTGCGGCACGATCAAAGTAACCTGAACGCGTCCTGAGTGGTGAGAAGTGCACGCCCCGCATGTGCAGCAAAACACTCAGTGATACAGTGTACCGACAATTACCATTGAAGCTTAATATACAATGAAAAACATCATTGACGGTACTATCAATGATTGAGTAACATGATTTCCATGGCTTATCGCCATCCACGCGTTTATTCGGCGCTTACAGTACCTTCGTGGGTCCACAATCCCTACCCAAGTAATCGAAACCGAGCCGGCAGTAGTTGAACAATATCTATGGCTGATAAAAAAGGCAGGAAATTGTCATGTCGCAATCACGACGAACAACAAATTAGAAAGAAAAACCAACGTCTTTCGTTTACAGATTGGAACATACTTAGCTCGCTTCCCATGCGCTCTACTCCATGCAAAAAATACAATTTCGCACACGGTGTCATACAAATTATTTCTGGGTGGGGCAGGTTGCATTATTTGAAGGAGCTCATTCCATTTCTAGATCATTTCCCAAAATACGAAGGTGTGCTCTCTAAAAATCTACCGTTAAACATGTGCCTGATGGTTATAGCTGTCTGCGGAAAATGCATCTTGGTCCTATCCTGAGTAGTAGTGGTATAAGGGAGCGCAGAGAAAAAAAAACTGACTAACTCTCCCCTATGTGCGTGCGTGTGTGTATGTGTGATGCGTGTCACAAGACTGCTAAATCATGTGTGAGTCATGACTCAAATGATTAAATGCAATTAATAAGTCCTAACTGAGGGGGAAAATGGAACGGCTATGAGATATTACTTGAGTCGGATCCCAAATCATGTGAGCCGGTCCTATGCCGGCTTTAAAAAATAAAATGAACACAGGTCTGGTGGTTGGTAATCCTAGGGCTTCAGATACTGACCCGCCCCTTCATTAGAACCACCAATACATTACATGCAAACCCTTTGTGCCATCACTCTCCACCGAGATTTTCACTGGAGCAGACTGCTGCCAACAGTATTTTGTCAGTGTCGGCATAATTTAGATTTTTTTTAGTCAGTTTTAAGTCGATTATTTTCAAACTCAGCCGGACTGGTCGTACAACATATGCTCCCCACACTCCACATTCCTTGGAAAGTTAGCGCAGAGTATGCCTTAGAATGTGATCTCAGGGAAGGTTTGCCGTCTGGCAATACATGAGCGCCATACCTAGAAGCGTGAGTCGGATCGGATGCGATCATACCAGCGATGAACCTTATACTAGTTCACGGTTTTCTTTTCTCAAAATCGTGACCTGATAAGTGTACAACTCGGGGCAAGGTCGGCCTAGCAAAGGAGCACAACATGAAAATATTTAGAGGGCATTCTACGTAGAAAGGCATGAACTCTAGCGTAAAGTGATCCTGCAGAAGCACATGCCATTCCACTGCTTGCGAGTGCTAGAGAACGTTCCAACCGGAAAATCGCCAGAGGTCATGTGTCAAGCCAAGCAGCACTCTAGGTGGGGTAATAATTCGAATCGGTTTCTTTTCAGGAAAGAATCTTGCACGGCTTACAAGAATTGTATGTGTTTGGACTGAAAGCCTTAGAAAAGCCACATTGCGATGGCTTTCGTGAAGAAACAGTTCTAAAATGCAGGCGTCTTTCTGCCCTGTGGATCAAAACGATTTGATCACATTATGACCAAACGTTAATTGGTATACAATGAAACGAATGTTCACTGTGTCAGCTTTCGGTGACACGAACTTGATAGCCGCACGAAGGTACACCGGCCATTGCGTTTCCGTGTGCCCACTGGCCGTATCATGTACTGGAATGGCCCAGTTAATCCAGTGGTGTATTACGCCGATTAAGGGCTGCGGGTTTTTGTGCAGTGCTGCCGGTGGACTGCACTCATACGTACTGGAATAATACCGCTCACTCTCCGATTGCGCTGAGCACGAACTGCTGCTGTACAGCATATCCTACCGCCTCATGCACTTGCCGCTCACTGTAGCGGTGCAGTTACAACCGCGAGCTGCACTGAACGCCGGCTTCAATTGCGCGGCGCTATGCGGCCTCAGCATCGCTCTTCACTGATTTTAATCACGCACTCCTGCTCGCCGATTGTAGCGAACACGGATTGTACTTGCACAGACTTGCCGCGGCATTGTGACGCTACTGCAGTGGATCAGTGCATGCCGCTGACTGCACCGGGGTCAAACTGTAACCGCGCGGTGCAGTCGCGGTTGTCCACAGCACTCGGGCATGTCCGCAGCTGTGCGTGCAGTCATATCTACCGACGGCACTGAGCATAACCTGCACGCGTGCAGCGCTCTCTAGCCTCTCGGCTGTAGTTAGCAATCAGCAATGTAAACTGAACTTGCCCGCTGACAACGGTGATCACTGGGCGCATTGTTGCGATAACGCCCCGCCAGTTGACCGCGCTTGTAGGTGACGGCATGCCTACCATTTCCGTCCCGATACCGCACCGGCACTATCTAGCAATTTTCCGAGCATGATACGCAAAACTGATGGCATATCTATGGCAGCGTTCCAAAATTCATCCAGTAAGGCGAGCAGCATGTAAATATGAGCTCGTGCTACAATGATCCTGGCTCTCCGGTGACCCTCGCAGGCAATTCGCTGGTACCTATCGTTGCCATTTGCCCCCGAAACCAGACGTCTGACCTGCTCAACCCGTATGTCAAGCCTGAGTCGCCTAGATACTGGGTTGACAGCCGTTCGATGCGATGCTGATTGGCCGATTTTGAGCAAGGGGCGGGTTGACAGGGAGTGAGCCCCAACTCGGGGTGTATAGCACTGACAAATTTCGACATCCCCGCTACCCAAGTGCCCGAATATTGGAACATTGGTCCATACACCTTTTGCTGTTCCCAAGTGTAGGCACTACATTTTCTTTTCTGGCAGTGCGTGATAGTGCAAGTCTTCATTTCTAAAACATAACATACGTTTTCTTCACATTTCGGGCTCGCGGATCAGGCAAGTAAAACAAATGGCCCTTTCCTAATCTGGGCGAGTATGAATACTGAGAAATAATTATCTACTTCGCAGCAAAAAGAACAATGTGCAGTGCTAGACAGCGCAACTGTAA